CACATGTTGATGTAGAAGAGGGGACACATGTTGATGTAGAAGAGGGGACACATGTTGATGTAGAAGAGGGGACACATGCTGATGTAGAAGAGGGGACACATGCTGATGTAGAAGAGGGGACACATGTAGATGTAGAAGAGACATGAAGAAGAGGGGACACATGTTGATGTAGAAGAGACATGAAGAAGAGGGGACACATGTTGATGTAGAAGAGACATGAAATGTTGATGTAGAAGAGACATGAAGAAGAAGGGACACATGTTGATGTAGAAGAGACATGTAGAAGAGGGGACACATGCTGATGTAGAAGAGGGGACACATGCTGATGTAGAAGAGGGGACACATGTTGATGTAGAAGAGGGGACACATGCTGATGTAGAAGAGACATGAAGAAGAAGGGACACATGTTGATGTAGAAGAGACATGTAGAAGAGGGGACACATGCTGATGTAGAAGAGACATGAAGAAGAGGGGACACATGCTGATGTAGAAGAGGGGACACATGCTGATGTAGAAGAGGGGACACATGCTGATGTAGAAGAGGGGACACATGTTGATGTAGAAGAGGGGACACATGCTGATGTAGAAGAGGGGACACATGTTGATGTAGAAGAGGGGACACATGCTGATGTAGAAGAGACATGAAGAAGAGGGGACACATGTAGATGTAGAAGAGACATGAAGAAGAGGGGACACATGTTGATGTAGAAGAGACATGAAGAAGAGGGGACACATGCTGATGGAGAAGAGGGGACACATGTTGATGTAGAAGAGACATGAAGAAGAGGGGACACATGCTGATGTAGAAGAGACATGGAGAAGAGGGGACACATGTTGATGTAGAAGAGGGGACACATGTTGATGTAGAAGAGGGGACACATGTTGATGTAGAAGAGGGGACACATGCTGATGTAGAAGAGGGGACACATGTTGATGTAGAAGAGGGGACACATGTTGATGTAGAAGAGACATGGAGAAGAGGGGACACATGTTGATGTAGAAGAGACATGAAGAAGAGGGGACACATGTTGATGTAGAAGAGGGGACACATGCTGATGTAGAAGAGGGGACACATGCTGATGTAGAAGAGACATGAAGAAGAGGGGACACATGTTGATGTAGAAGAGACATGAAGAAGAGGGGACACATGTTGATGTAGAAGAGGGGACACATGCTGATGTAGAAGAGACATGAGAGAAGAGGGGACACATGTTGATGTAGAAGAGACATGAAGAAGAGGGGACACATGTTGATGTAGAAGAGGGGACACATGCTGATGTAGAAGAGGGGACACATGTTGATGTAGGAGAGGGGACACATGTTGATGCAGAAGAGGGGACACATGTTGATGAAGAAGAGGGGACACATGTTGATGTAGAAGAGGGGACACATGCTGATGTAGAAGAGACATGAAGAAGAGGGGACACATGTTGATGTAGAAGAGACATGAAGAAGAGGGGACACATGTTGATGTAGAAGAGGGGACACATGCTGATGTAGAAGAGACATGAAGAAGAGGGGACACATGTTGATGTAGAAGAGACATGAAGAAGAGGGGACACATGCTGATGTAGAAGAGGGGACACATGTTGATGTAGAAGAGGGGACACATGCTGATGTAGAAGAGACATGGAGAAGAGGGGACACATGTTGATGTAGAAGAGACATGAAGAAGAGGGGACACATGTTGATGTAGAAGAGACATGAAGAAGAGGGGACACATGTTGATGTAGAAGAGACATGAAGAAGAGGGGACACATGTTGATGTAGAAGAGACATGGAGAAGAGGGGACACATGTTGATGTAGAAGAGACATGAAGAAGAGGGGACACATGTGATGTAGAAGAGAACACATGTTGATGTAGAAGAGGGGACACATGTTGATGTAGAAGAGGGGACACATGCTGATGTAGAAGAGACATGATGTAGAAGAGGGGACACATGCTGATGTAGAAGAGACATGGAGAAGTGGAGTGTGCACAATAGGGGACCTTTAAAAAAGGGACACATTAAATGGTTGAGCCCTGATGAGAACTCTTAATGTTGTATTTGTTGTCTTAATGAGATCCTATAAAAACCAGCGAGCACACATGACACCCTGCGTCTGGTTTATCAAAGACGATGCGTACGGCTCGTCAGTCAGCAGGCGTTTCAAAGACGCTCAGGTGGACATGTAGAGGAACTGAACTGGACGTTACCTGCAGGCCGTTTTCTCTTCGGTCCTCTCTTGGCGGGCTTCTCCACCTTCGCTTTCTTCCCCTTTTTCCCTTTCTTTTCCTCGTAGTCACTTCCCCCGTCCTCATCCGATCCTTCCTCCTCTGCAAACTCGTTGTCTTCCTCGTTGCTGCCAAAGTCATCTGCCGCAGAGAGAAGTCAGTGAGCCGCTTTCCACGTAATCACTTTCCAGCTGTTTCCATTCAAAAAAGCGCCCGAGCGATTACTACTCGTCTCAAATCGGAAAAATAAATAAACTGACTTACCTGCTGAGTCATTTTTGGGTTTGGTGACTTTCTCGTCAGACTCCTCGCTGGAAAAAAAAAAGATACGAGAAATGTCAACCAGAGTTAAAACACTCAAAGAAGCAAGGAAAGGGTCTGGACCAGGAACCAATCAGAGCAGACCTCTGCAGAGTTGCTGATTAGAGGCAGTGTGGTGAAGCTATCTGAGGCTAATGCTAATTCTAAGCTAGCATCTTGGATGTAGGAAGCAGCTGCTCAGGTTATGTAGGCTGAGAGTCAGAAAGAAGGACTTTAATTGCAACAAAATCAATACAACAGTGCTCTGCTGTTCTGTGAGAGCAACACTCTTCTATTCTCAGCGTTAGAGCGGTACATGAGCAGCTTCAAACGGAGCGACGGTAAATCAGAAACAGGTTTATTACCAGGTAGGTTAACACATGTACATTCAAATGTTAGTATGTATGCTAATTGTTTTATATAGAAAATCCAGTCAAGAGAATACAATTGTGTTATTGTTGAAGGCTATTTGAACTATAGCTGCTTAATTAATCATATTTAAAAAATTGCAATTATGATTATGGCTTTCAACGATTACGAAAACAACGTAATCAAAATAAAACGATTATTATTTTTACTTTTTTTCCTTCCAATAAATTAATGTTTTCAAAGTAAACTGATAATCGTGATATTAATTACTGATCCAAATAATCGAGATTAGGATTTTTGCCGTAATCGAGCAGCCCTAATTTGAACTGTGAGAAACTTCAACACTTCTAGCCTAATTTAATTAATGTCCTCAGATGGAGCCGTTTGCTGCGTGTTGGAAACGCTACACATTTTAAGGATGAATAAGTAACTCGGTGCGTTCTTGATCCGTTCTTTGAACTCCCAATGCTGCCGATGTCGTCACGTAAGGTTCTCGAAGGAAAACATTTCCAACGTCTTCAGTTGATTATTAGAGAAAATGTTCATCATTTACAGAGAGGTAGAGGTTACGACAGCACACCCAGCTGAACGCAGGGAGTGTTTCTCTTTGGTCGAAAGCACAGACACAAGTTCAGCTGCTGCAGGACACGGCGGTTTAGCTATATCTCAGATGTTGAGGCTGAACAGGAAACGCATGTCACCCCTGCTCGGCTAGAGTGAACTGACCTCGGTCCAGGGAAAGACCGCTATAAGATTTCTGAAAGCTATAACCTAACGAGCTGCATCCATGATGGATCGGATGCAGCTCTGCTCCTTCTCCCGGTTTCCTCCAGCTGAGTTTCTTTCTCTCTGCAGATCAACATCCAATATTCCTCTGCCTGGAACGGCTCTAGCGCACCTGGCTGCCTCCCTCTCTAAGCATGTATTTGATCAGCTACCCTCTCCTCTTGACCTCATAAAGACTTCCTTCCACCCTCAGCCTTATTGCACATGCCAAACTTTATCATGGTGTCTTAAAGGGATCCTGTTATGCACGTTTCATCACTTCACTTCTCTCATACTGCCTGTGATGCGCCACATCTTTGTCTGAAACCAGAGCCAAGTTTGCTCTGAGAGGTTTGCTTTAATTCTATTTTGAGATGTTTAAATTCCAGTCTTGTTTATTTCCACTTATGTCCAATGTTTTGTTTTGTTGTTTTTCAGGTTGCTGCAATGCAAACATTTCCCAAATTGGGATCAATAAATTACCTCTTATCTTATTTTATTAGCTGGCCGGCTCTATTGTGATTGGTCAACCGCTTAGAGATGTCCCGCCCCTTTAAATGTCAAATGTGTTTGAACGCTAGCCAATAGCAGCCCGAGTGTTACATAGTAATGTCATTATTTGCATGCACAACAACCTGTACAAACCCCGAAAAGCATAACAGGGCCTCTTTAATGCTGAATGTGATGTCCACGCTACAGAAGACACTGTTTTCATTAACGGCTCGTCCACACTACAGCTTCGACAGCTTCAAAAACGGTTTCCAACGCGTCTGCCCATTCACTTTGAATGGGGTGACGTCACGTTGCCTCGCTTTTCGCCGAACTGAATTGTGGGTAGCAGAGCGGAGCTTTCCTGGCGTTTCAGACTGCAAAAGTTGAGCAAGGTTCAACTCTTGCAGCTTCTGAAGCTTTCGGTGGAAGCGTCAGCCAATCAAATCATATCATATGCCAGTACAAGCTCTAGCCAATCAAACCGCTGCTTGTGTGTCAGGGGCGGGAGATTCATGTGATTGGTTGTTGGTCGAGCTTCAGACGCGCCCGCCGGCAAGCTTTTTTTGAAGCTGTAGTGTGGACGGGCCGTAAAAGGCTCAATGCTGCTCTTCTTTACTGAGGTCCTCGTGTCTTAAAGGTATACCTGGTGCCTGTCACAGGGTTCCTAGATATATGTTGATGTGTGTTACATGTTTAAAGTTCACCGATCTATAGCGATGCTCACCTGTCATCCTGTGAGTTCTTTACGCGTTTCTGCTTGGGCTCACGTGGGGGGGCACGCACCTTCTTAGGCTTATTCTCCCCATACTCCTCATCTACACAGAAAGGACAAGGTTACAGTTTTACAGTCGCAGGCATTCACATACAAGGACATGTTGGCTGTTCGTCACACAAACAAGTTATTATTATTTCTGTTGGCCTTTCTCTTTATCGGATTCTCAATAGGATGGAAAATGGATTACGTATTAGCCGAGAGCATACATACTGGTTATCCACTAATCTCTCTCTAGATTTGCCAGTAACTGCATTGAATTACAACATACAGTACAAGGATATCATAATACCACATTTATTGAAACACATCTCTTACCTGCATCAGACTCGTTGAATTGTGAGTAGTTCACCACTTTCCTGTTCCTGCGAAGAGAGATGAAACATTGTGTTACGTTTCATTCACACAGGACAAAGTTACTTCTGTTTCTAGACACTGCTGGAGGGGGTAGGCAGCAAAAAGATGATCAATATGAGCAAGTCATCAGCAACAAGTTAGCTGTGAGTGCATGTGTGGATTGTATAATGCTCTCTGGGAAGCCACAAAGCTGCGGGCGGTGAAATGGACACTGGGACACTGCTACAGTTTCCGAGGCTAATTTAGCAAAGTATAAATGCGGGAAGCCTCAGGTGACAGTAGCCAACTTCAGTTCAGGTAACACACACCTGGAGAAGCTGCGTCGGGGGAGGTTAAAGCCACAGATGAACCATCCATCATCCAATTTGTGCATGTATATATCTATATTTTATGTATTCATGGTGTTTGATTGTAGCCCATCGTTAGCTTTTTAATTCTGGCAATTCAAATTACACAAAGTGGTGTGTTAATATGAGCTGAACTAAACGTGGTAAGTAACGATTGTTTGCAACGAGGCTTATTTTCTGCAATATACGGAAATCCAATGGAAAAATCCCATTGGTTTTTATTGAGGGAATCGTTGCAATGCTTACCCCACGATCGTCCTACAAAATGAAGTTATCGCCGCACCACTAAATTATTGTTGGCAGGACTGGTTGCTCAATGCTTGACAATACCCGTGAATACCGGCGTATTACAACAAGTAGAAAATGTGCACTGGTTACATTACTGTATCACCCAACCACATTATGCTGGTGAGTGTGTCTGTGTGTGTGTGTGTGTGTGTGTGTGTGTATGTGGTGGGAAGGGAGTACGGGTAACTGTCAGAACATTTTACAACTACTTTGGTTACAGCAAACACACACCGACCACAGTGTAAGCCTCAGCCATGTGTGATATTCAGTGGCAGTTTTACACACATTTTCTTTCACATCAGAAGGAAACACACCACGTTTCCAATTAGCTCCAATAAAGAAAGATACCAAACTGTGGAAGCTGACGATAAAACGTGTGATGTGGAAATGTATCTACGACCTAGGTGCTCTTTTGTCTGATAATAACCATTAATTGTCTGGTATAGAAATGATAGGAAATAGTAAAAAGTCACATCGGTAGAGTTCGTTAAGCTGTTTCTGTGAAAACATCTTTACAATTGAGAAGCTGTCAGAAGTTATGGTTTGGTAATTGTTAGATATGGACTATATTTCAATGTTTACCTAATTGAATTGCTTTAGATAATCTGTACACTAAGCAAGGCCGCGACAACTAATCAAGTCCATCAAAATTGATTATCAACATAGTTGGCAACTCTTTCCATTCATCAATTTTTTTTAGGAGTATGTTATGATGCACAGCCACTTTGCGTGCTTGCATCGTCACCGCGGGGGAAGCTAAACGACCAATGTTGCGCCTCTTTTTGGGCACGTGATGAATTACCAATAATGATGACCTCTCCTTTATGTCTGGAGTTAATGTTTGAAAAGCGGCAGAGATAAATGACACAGCGAAAGAAACAGAAAAGTGAAGAGAAGCCACGGGATAGCTCAGGATTTCAGGATCGAATTGAAAAAAGAACAAAATGGTGGTCCCTGTTCTTTCTCCATTCTGTGGTGGACCAATGTAGTCAGGAACCCCATAAAGCTCTTTTAAAGATAACACTTTAGAAAGCTACTGCCTTCTGTATTGATTTAGTTTTGTTTGGACTAACTCAAAAGGTTTTTCAAAGCGAGCAGAAAGGTCTAGAAAATCTGGTTAACGGGTTATTCCAGGATGTAGAAATGACTGGTCAGCGGTCAAAAGGGATAGCCGCTAACGTTTAAGCTAGAACGCGTCGGACACTTAAATAAAAATTAGGGTTATTCAAATGTTGTGCTGGGGAGATGATTAACCCAGACTAAGTACAGTATCTGTTGATTTAACAACAACATATTGGCCAATAGAAAATTAGAGAAGAGACGTTGAGTTGTTGAACCTGGCTTACTGTAAACATGTGTGAAGAATTAAGTATTTCTATTCAGCAGATGGTGGGTGTTTTTTTTCATATTTGTGGAGATAATTAGTTCATCCACCATTGATTTCCTAAATAACCACAAACTAAAATAGAAGTAAGCCAACGTAGGCAAAATCTAAGTAAAATAAGTAGATGTGTGTTTTTATGACTTTGCATGTGGGGATCAAGGTTTTTAAATGATAGGCTGCAGATGCAACAAAAAAGAAAATAGTATAAAATTAAGATAAATATATATACTAAAAAAAACTATTTTGTATTTACAGTAATCCAATAATCCAACGTTGTCTCCGTTTGAAGAAACATCCCTAATTTACAGACTGCTTTTCCAATGAAACATTCAGATGCCTTGAAAACCTTCGAAATGTCATGGACCAACTGTCAACTAGGTAAGTGTTTAAAGTAATATTAACATTTATTTATTCTATAAACTACTGACTACTAACATCTCTCTGTTGCAATTCAACAGACACAGGAAAGGAATGGCTACAGTACATGTAGGGATTGAGATTTAAGAAACATATTGAGTGGTCTCTTCATTTTTTTTTAGATCTGTATTTTGAATGTGGGGCTGCAGATGCAACACAATTGAAAATGGCACTATTTAAAAACAGATAGACAAACAGAACAGGTATTCCAAGACACACACTAACTTGAATATACATATAACTAAATGGAATAACTAACAAATATGTAAATGCACACCACAAGACTCTGGAGTATGTGGTTGATGTGTTTGAGATATCTAACTATACTTGCTTTACTCTCTAATTGAGGTCTAAAAAAAAAGCATTTAGGACCTTTTTTAATTAATCTTTTAATCAAACCTAATTCCTGTTTTAAGAAAGTACAGATGCCCTTTTAAATGACTCTGATTTTGTTGACTAACTTTTAAATTAGACCATAACAGCATCTAAAAACCTTCTAATCAAGTAAAATAACAATTAATTAAACACCTCATGTTTAACACATCACCTTTAAGACTTTGTAATGTATGGAGTAAATTATTTAGTTTTAATGTGAGGCTGTTGAAATAACACAATTAAAAAAGGGCATTATTTAAAATAAATATGCAGAAACCGGTTTTCCAAGACAACCAATGGCATGTGTGTCTTGTGTGTTTGAGATATCAAATATGGACGATACAGAATCATATATGCATTTAAGACTTTGTTAATGGTTTTTCTTACTTAGTTCATCTGTTAATCAAACCTCATTTCATTTGCGTTTACAGAAACAGTCCTGAGTAACGGTTCCCTTTCAAATGACTCATTCAGATGTCTTGAAAACCCGCGAGATTTCGTGGGCTAACTTTAAATTAGAGCTAAAGGCATCCAAAACTCTTCTAATCAAGTTAAATAACCTTTGAAATGTAACCTCATGTGTTATAATCACGGTGGGGGAGTCATGCATTGGGGGGTTGGGGGTGTGGTGACTTTTTGTAGTTTCTCCGCCTTCTTCTGACTTCAGCCAGCAGGGTTAATTTACTGCTAACACTCAAATACCTCCGTTATTCCTCCAATAGCGACATTTGATCCTTTAATACTGCACGTTTTATCGGTGTAAATAGGTAGAAATGTACGTAATTCAATGCAAATGTGATATAACCAGACTACAGCCTCGACATGCCTATTCTGCGCGGCAACAAGATCAAATCCCGAGGCCAAACGCCACCTCCCCCGGTCGGTTTTTTCCCCCTTTTGATGGGGGGTGTTAGCGGTTTTAGAGCCTCCCCTGGATGAATGGGAAGCCATATTCTCATTCTCAACCAAGAGAGGGGAAATATATGCATAAGTGGAGCCTTTAAATTGGTTAAATCACACCATGGCCTACATAAACAGGGAAACAATGCACACATGATGGGCTGGTTTTTAAAAAGCCTGATAGACACGACACACAGCATGGCCACAGCGATGGGATCCATGTTAGAAAAAGAGGGTGCACACACACACACAAGAAGGGAAGCAACACACACGCACATTCCCATTATTTTTTCATGAAATAAACACTATTCCCAGCTTCATAAAAGACACACAGCGCCGTGTGGAGACGTGCATGTTTTCTGCACAGCATTACGCACAGCACAGGACGGAATTGGCACACCTTACCTTACTGGTCTTGACATTTTGCAGGAATACTGTAGAGGTTAAAGGATGTAAGAAAAAAGGGGGAAGAAGCACACAGGGGGAGAAGGGGAAAAAAAGAAATATAGAGATTCCCGCTCTGCAAAAAAAAAACCCCGAGGTTGGAGCACAACTCCACCGTGCGAGCGAGCGCGTAAAAATAAAAGTACTGCACCGATGTGTCCTCCAAACGCTAATATTCTTATTTTTTGTGTGCCTTCAGCTACTCAAAATGGTGAATAAAACAAACTGAAACTGCAGCCTATGTGCAACCAAACCCTCGGCCTCGAAGGGGAGGGTCTTCGAAGACAAGCCAAGCCCCCTTCTGGTCTGTGAGAGGAGCAGCGCGGCATTCCGCTCCTCTGATTGGCTGGTTTGAACGACGAGGTTCTTCCCTATTGGTTGATCCAGCTGCACGTTAGAACCCCTTTAGCATTCGGTTCCCCGCCTCCCTTAGCAAGCTCGGTTGCGTTAGCACTCTTAAGAAAACAAAAAGAGGCCCTCAGGTTGGATACAAACAGTGAATTCAGTGGGTCACTAAATACCATAAAGCAACATTGCAAGTGTGGGTTACAACGTGCACAAACATAATGTATATATAATGTAATATAAGATATTTTAAGGGTATGATTGACAGTTTTCTTGCTCATACTGAGACTAGCCTTCCTAGACTGCTGCAGCAGGAGGTGAGCTACACAACAGTGGCAATAGCATTACAGGTATACTGTTTATTCCTCTGTTGCATTTGACAAAATCAGGCCTGTTATTCATCTTTTAAAAGGGTGCACACACAAGAAGGGAAGCACACATGTAAATACGATCCTACTTTTACATTTAGTTAGCCCTTCATTTTTTTCAGATAATCTAATGTACAGATGTTGATCTTTCGGTCAACTTGTAGCCTATATTTGACTTTTTAGTTCAGTTTTATTTTCTATTCTGAGATGTGTATGTTTTATATTTCTATTTTTGTTGTGCTATTTCTATTTTCAAATGATGTGCAATTCCTTGTTTTAAAATGCTGCTGTTACTATAACAACAACAAAATCAAAAAATGTGATCAAGAAAGTATATCTTATGCCTTTTATTTTTGAAAAGCTCTATGAAATTGCCTTGTATTGAAAGGTGCTGTATAAATGAACTTGCCTTGCCTTATGTTATTTTGTACTTAGGAACATTTCCATTATTGTTCATGAAATAAACATGTGTTTTTATTTGTATTTGATTCATGTGTGCTTGCCTTTTTAAATAAAATGTTAGCCTACTCTTTCTACTTTAATCTGCACTGCACATTTGCTGCTGTTATGTCATGAAACTCCCCGATGTCAGACGGATAAAGGATTCCTGATTCCGATATAATGAAATGTAAAACTACATTTCAGAATGCAAAAGTCCCTCAAATCATTCCATAAATTGCTTATACCACTTTCAGATCTATAAACTCACTCATTAAAATCCAGATCAACTGCATGTGTCAACATCTATTCAGTATAAACTCTGTTCCTGGCCTGCATGGGTTAATGCAGGGAACAGAGAACTAAAGGGTAAACTGGAGTGTGTGTAATAACTAGAATTGACATTTTATGGAAGTTTTTTCTTGAAATCAGAAAGCTTTTAAAAAATTGGATGTTTAAATTCCGTTGTTAGGATAATCGTATAATATTAGGACAATCATATATAGCCTTACATTAGTAGAGCATGAGAAGTGGATTTAAAAATACAGGAATAGTAACTATGACTCATATACGGTAGTTGCCATATATTTATTACCAGAGGTGGGAGAAGTACTCAGATCTGCAGCTAGTTGTAATGACTTTGTATACTGCAGGGTAGCTTGAGAGTTTACTCCAGGTGGAACTAAAGATTTAACACTTGTTTATATTTCACATCATTAATCCACATCTGTGAAGTAACTAAAGGTGGAGTAAAAGTACACAATTGACCTCTGAATTGTAGTGGGGTAGAAGTACTTGAGACAATCTACTTAGTTACTTTAGACCTCTGTTTATTAATCCCTTATTTATTTTGTGGTTTTCAAATGAGATTTTCACTTAAATAAGAGTGAAATAACTGAAGACGTGTGTCCTGTCTTTGATAAAGCTGGTTGTTTATGTCTCGAAGATTCAAGGCTGTCAGAAAAACAGCATCAATAAAGAATGAGGGTATGACTGCACACTTACTCAAGGCTCTAAAGGTCTACAATAGGAGCAAAACACGTTTCTGGCTTTGAGTAAATGTGCATGCATTTGAAAAAAAGACAATACATTACAGATGCATTTCAGTGCATACATGACCTTACACTGGTAGATGTGTTTACATTTTAGTTTGGAGTATCAAAACTATTTAAATATTCGTCACAAATGGTTCATTTACTGTACTTAAATAAATCTTTATCAGGTCTTTTTCGACCTCAAAGCGCTTCACACACTACGTGTCATTCACCCATTCACACTTCAGAGCAGTAGCACTTTCTCTAGGGAAGCTAACATTCACACACACTCACACACCGATGCTGGAGGAAATTCCAACCCTAGCCATCCAGACAGAATTATTACTGCGATAATGTATAGTCTTTCTGTTAGGTAGTCATTGCAGCACAGTAGGACTAAGTCAATATGCTGCAGATGTGAGGGGATTAGACTTAGAGGATGCACTTTTTACTCCCAGACTTGGTGACACAGTAATGTTTTCCAACATGCTAACTGTTACGTGGTGGCGGGAGTGTGTACCCATTCATGGTGGTCCAAACCTCAGCTCATCCATTCACCCGCCTGATGAACCTGCAGCACGTTTATACATTTCCTCCAAACTCAAATCCTCTTTAAGTAGGACACCACACTCAAAGCTGGAAACACGCCAGGTTCATATGGATGCTATTTATTCACAAGTCTGAATGGACTGGTGAATACCATGTTCAGGACCACACAGGCCACATTATGCTTTCCCCCTTCCCTGTAGTGTGTTTTATTGGTCTTTATGCATGTAAATGGTGTTCAAGTGTTCCCCCCTCCAGAGGGAGTTTCTCTCGCCCCCCCCCCCTCGCCTGAAACGCCTCCATTGGACTCTTTTGTTTACTTCCTAAACATAGTGACATCCATATTTAACACTCCCGCTGCCATTGGCTAGTGCTCCAACACATTGTACGTGATAGGCTAAGGAGTTTGACATCCTCTTAGTGGTTGACCAATCCCTACAGCTAACCAATCAGAGCAGACTGGGCTCTGGTTTCAGACGGAGGGGGAAAAGAGGTGCTGCAGCACAGAGAGTATGAGAAAAATAAAGAGCTTTTTGAACATTAAAGCATGGAGACATGTCCCAGTAGAGACACTACATACTGATATACACCTGAACATCAGCAGGAGAGGACTCTTTAAAGTAGAGACACTACATACTGATATACACCTGAACTTCAGCAGGAGAGGACTCTTTAAAGTAGAGACACTACATACTGATATACACCTGAACATCAGCAGGAGAGGACTCTTTAAAGTAGAGACACTACATACTGATATACACCTGAACATCAGCAGGAGAGGACTCTTTAAAGTAGAGACACTACATACTGATATACACCTGAACATCAGCAGGAGAGGACTCTTTAAAGTAGAGACACTACATACTGATATGAAACCTGAACATCAGCAGGAGAGGACTCTTTAAAGTAGAGACACTACATACTGATATACACCTGAACATCAGCAGGAGAGGACTCTTTAAAGTAGAGACACTACATACTGATATACACCTGAACATCAGCAGG